AATTGAATTCATTATTAAACTTAAATTTTGGAAGCTAACACACTTGCTCTATCAGCAATTGATTTACCTTTGAAAGGCATCAGAGCACAGGCTGTTTGATTTGATTTACAGTGAAAACAGGTTTATTACTGACATTTTGCCAAGATACAACAGTGAGGTAACTGGGAATTAATAAAACTTCACTGGCAAAGATGATACCCTAGCACATGTGTAATGTAGGTGTAAAGTTTGACTGCAATCAATTAAGACAAGTCAGTTGAATCCTGAACAAAAAAAATCTGGGTCCTAATGTTTGAACAAAACATTCATATATGACAGAGATCTGGTTCCTGGATGTCAAAAAATGCTTGATTTTCGTGCATTTTTCACATTAAAATGGCATGAGATGTGGCTTTGGGACAGCAATCAAAACAAAATGGCCAGAAAATAGTCAATTTGAATCTGATAAAAAAAATGAAATGCATCAAGGTCCCATACCAAATGTAAAAGAAATTCACCCATATAGGACTGAGATCATACTCAAATACCATAGCTATTTGATTTTAATGAATTTTTAGCACCAACATGGGCACCATTTGACCATCCTGAAATGTATAGTATAAAACAAATACACGTGCATATACAATGTATTGCAAAATGTATAATGTGGGTGAGAAGTTTGAAAATACCATGTCCAGGCATGGCCAAGATAAGGTGCGAGTGCATGTAATTGGCAAGATCAATCATAAGTCCATTTTCTGACTTTGAATAAGGACCAAGTCTACGAGTTGCTGAGAACGGAATAACATGATGGTTGCGAAAAGCAAATATGATATGCAACCGAGGGAGTTCAAGTCAACCCATGTTCAGTGTCTACAAAACTGTTAATAGCATATCAGAGGAGCATGCATTTAGTATAGAAATTACTATATGTAAATGACAGAGGTGTGTCTTTAAGTTAAAATTGGTGATATTTTAATGGAGCAACATAAAATGAATGCAATTTTTGGAGATGCACTTCTAACAAAGCAAATACAATACATGAACTATTTTTAGTTAGTGTAACAGAGGCAAATACGGTGCACATGAATTACCTTTCTTACATGTACATTTGTAACTGACTATAAATTCATTACATGCATTACAGTCAAGTACAAATATCCTATGAATTAAACAGTACAAATTCTAGATACTTTCAAAATCATAATCTATGTTTTTATCAAGAACTCTGCTGAGCCCTTATGAGTCAGTGTGTGATTTATTTGTTCTGTATTTTAAATGAAATGGACCTAACTTGTTTTAAACACCTGAGTACTACCTTTTCCTAAAATAATTAATGTTTAATACTGAACAGTTAAATCTTAAAAAGAAAAATAGAATTAAAACGAAGAAAAGAAACATCATATAACATTTTAAAAGTATAAATTAATAAAATATTTACAAATATTAATATTTCATACAAATAGTGTCATTTGTTTAGATTATGCTACAAAATCGGTTCATGTCATAAGACAACGCTTTTGTAGTTTATAGAACAGTCAGGCTAGTGATTTTTATGCCATGAATTAAGTCAAACTTATCTTATCTATTTTTTTAATGTTATATTGATAGAAAAATTTGGTTTAAAACCTGTGTACCGTGATGAATACTATTACTATGATGCTATTTGCAAGATATTCATATCAGAAGTTTTGTGGATTTGGTTGAGATTCAGTTTTCACTATCTTAGGGTGCCATAAATTTTCTGATATTCAAAGACAGATTACAAAATAAATATTGGATGGGAAGCATTTTATATCAATTTTTTTTTTCAAATTGGTCTGAGCCCCACTATACTCTTGGGATGTTTCCTACATAGCTATTAGTTTGATTCCTTTTGAATTATTTTAATCAAGTTACCATTGCATTTGTATAAAATTTCAACACTATATACTGAAAAATACTTTATTTTAGCTGGATTAAATTTTTGCTGAAAAGACTTATTGGGTGTTTTGTATGGAATTTATTTTCACTGATTATTGACAATGTAAAATATAGAAAAAAAGGTATATTCACTGGATTTTATTTTAACTGAATCATTGAATCTCTCAGCGAAAAATAATTTCAGTACTTCCTAAGTTAGTTGTGTTTAGCGTACACACAAAGTAGAATCCGAACAGCAATGAAGAATGGAATTTACTGTAAGCAAAGACCAATAATAAACTGTGAAATACACCAGCTTTTGATCAGTGCAAAACCAACATTTTTAGATTTGAGTTTGAATTAAGTTTTGCTGACAATACAACCTTAATGTTTAAAGTTGACAATGATTAACAGCTTTCATATAGTACTACCAAAACTATGGTCACTGTAAAGATGCATCAGTAAACAAAGTATTGTCAAGATGAGGAACGATGGGACAATGCATAGTACTCATGGGAACATTTTTTTGTTTTTTTTTCACTCATAACATCTAATTCCCCAGATACTTTTCCTGCGATGTCCAGTTGTAGGTCTGGCAATGCTTGAGAAAGGATAACGGTTGATTTCCACACGTGGCATACTGGCTTTGATGTTCTGAAGACCAGCATCTTGGAGCAAACCAAAGATGTTTAGGGCTACCAAACACTGCATAGCACCTAATTGCCTGTAAAACAAACACCGTCTTTTTTAGGAATTGTGAAAAATGACGACTGGTGTACTTATCCACACACATTTCTGACAAAACAAATTTTTCAGTGGTAGCTATCTTTGGATTGTTGGCCATTTTCAGAAGAAAAGGCCTGAATTAAACAGCATAATTATAATTTCATTTAAAAAAGAATACCAGTGATTAGTTTTTGTTATGTTTCAGTGACGTAAAAAGTTTCTTTTGTTCATTTCATTGAATTTTGAGCATTTGAGAACACTAGAGAGCGCTTTGAGGGGAAATAGAGGTTTAAACAGGGTGTTCATACTTACACAAGAGTTGAGATAGGAATATTGTAACATCTGCTGAGAGCTAAAAACTGTAAATTACACAGCCTGTCCATCAGAAAGTGGATGGACACAGAGCTCAATAAGGCTGAATCACTGAGGTCTAGTTCCACCAAGTTGGGACATCGTACTCCGATCATTATAACTTCTGTACAAAGAAGAAGACAATAGAAATGATGAAAAGACAAGACACATCATTATTACTTCTGTACAAAGGAGAAGACAATAAAAAGGATGAAAAGTCAAGACAGATCATTATTACTTCTGTACAAAAAAGAAGACAATAGAAATGATGAAAAGACAAGACATGTCATTATTACTTCTGTACAAAGGAGAAGACAATAGAAATGATGAAAAGACAAGACATATCATTATTACTTCTGTACAAAGGAGAAGACAATAGAAATGATGAAAAAACAGACATATCATTATTACTTCTGTACAAAGGAGAAGACAATAGAAATGATGAAAAGACTATTTAATATTCTGAAATATTTTGGAATTGAGTGTCTTGAGAATATTGAGAATACAAGTCTTTATAGTATACAGCAAACAGTTGAATAGAAAGCACTGCGAGTATACAGCAAACAATGGAATAAAAGGTACTGTGAGTAGACAGCAAACAATGGAATAGAAGGTACTGCGAGTAGAAAGCAAACAATGGAATAGAAGGTACTGCGAGTAGAAAGCAAACAATGGAATAGAAGGTACTGCGAGTAGAAAGCAAACAATGGAATAGAAGGTACAAGCAAACAATGGAATAGAAGGCACTGCGAGTAGACAGCAAACAGTGGAATAGAAGGTACTGCGAGTAGACAACAAACAATGAAATAGAAGGCACTGCGAGTAGACAGCAAACAATGGAATAGAAGGTACTGCGAGTAGACAGCAAACAGTGGAATAGAAGGTAGTAGACAGCAAACAATGGAATAGAAGGTACTGCTAGTAGACAGCGAACAATGGAATAGAAGGCACTGCGAGTAAACAGCAAACAATGGAATAGAAGGTAGTAGACAGCAAACAATGGAATAGAAGGCAGTGCGAGTAGACAGCAAACAATGGAATAGAAGGCACTGCGAGTAGACAGCAAACAATGGAATAGAAGGTATTGTGACTAGACAGCAAACATTGGAATAAAAGGTACTGCTAGTAGACAGCAAACAATGGAATAGAAGATTTGTATGATATTGATAGAATGTGACTCACTATGCAGCATCCATTAATTTATCACTAGATTATTTTTGTTATGCTTCAGCACTTACCATCATCAGTTAATAAATGTCGAAATCCCCCGATGTTAAGTTTCTGTAGTGTATTGGGTAAGTGATTGACAACTGCCACTAAGGTCACCCTGTCTAAGCTAGTCCAGGAAATATTCAGAGATTTTAAACTGAAACAATGGAATTAAAGACTTTTAAAAGACAATAATTACATAATGTTTTCACAAATATTCTACATTCCTGTTCACTATGTCCGGTAAACCGAATGAATCAATTAAAATAAAAAGTCAGCCACAGCTAATTTTTTATACATGTATGGAAATGTGTGTAATCCAAAAACCTATTTAACCGAACAACCTTTCCCATTCTTTTCTCTGTGAACGTATTTATATAACCAAATCCATTTTCATAATCTTTCTTCTTCTTTTTTAACACGCGTTTCACTCAATATACAATTTTATTAAACCTACTTTTGACAGCTGTTCAAGAACTTTGTGATGCCTTGTGCAGTAATCCCAGCACACATACACAGATTTAACACTTCTAAATCAGGTGTCCGAGTCAAACTATGCAGCACTCTGTCATTGACTTCACAACACTCCAGACATAGTTTACGTAACTGATGACATGGTTGTAATAGATCGGCTAATGAATTAGGATTTACATGGCACTGTGACATATCTATGTATTGCACTCTTACACACCTGGGAAAAAAATAACAAGTCATTGTCAATGACACGTCCCCGTTCCGTTCATATTTGAGTGACATATACATTCAAAGCAGATCATGACCGAAATGCACCTGCATATGTACAACACATTGTACTAAATCTAAACAAAATCCATCCATGCATGACTGAGATCCGGTTACGGAATTGTGAAAATACGTGATTTTGATGCATTTTTGGCCTTAAAATGGCCATCATTCAGCTATTGCTAAGCAGATCATGAAACAAATGCACATATCTATTTGTGACATGATGTACCATGTGTGTGTGAAGTTTGAACTTGATCAATCCATACATGTCTTGGATACGGATCCAGAACTGAATTCTTTAAAACAAAGTGGCCGCCAGTTGGCCATTTCAAACTTGATCCGAAAAAATGACGTGCATCAAGGTCCTATTATGTTTAATGTATGTACCAAATTTGAACAAAATCCGTCCACGCATAACTGAGATCCGGGTCCGGAATGGTGAAAATGTGCAATTTTGATGCATTTTCGGCCTTAAAATGGCCGCTATTCGGCTATCGTTAATCGGATCATGAAAAAAATGCATGTGCATATGTCCCATATAATATGTGATGTATGAGTGAAGTTTGAACTTAATCGGTCCATGCATGTTCGAGATACAGGTGATCACGGACGCACACACGGACGCACACACGGCAAAACATAAGTCCCCGTTTTCGGACTACGTCCGAACGGGGACTAAAAAGAATTATTGAAAAATTATTATTTGTACAGCTTTGAATGAATGATTGAATCAACTATAATAACATTTTTAAATGCAGTGAAGTTGAAATATAATACTCACTTCTTTGATTTCCTTCTAAGTATAATTACGTCTTCTTCTTTTTTTAAATCAGCCAAATCTTTACTATCATATGCTGGCCCAATAATATCTGATTTGGTAAACTTGCCAGCTGTCATTCCACGGAGAAAGATTTTCCCAATTTGACCATCTTTAAAAGTCTTTCCAGTCAAAAAAGGTCTTCTCCACAGGGATTCATCAAAACTGAAGAGGAAATCAGTTTGTTCCCTTACTCACATGTTCAATTGTGATAAAACAACTTGTATAACAACTCTTGTTTCATAATAGAGCAAAATAAACAATTCTTATTGTTTTAATTGATCAACGAACAGCACATACTTCAGGTATATGTACTTACGCAAGTGAACTCCAGCGGCGACAGACTCTAGCACACTTTGCCATGGTTGTCAGGGGTAACCATTTGAAAACATTTAAAACAATCTCATCTGACATATGACTAAAATAATCTGCAAAAACAAAGAATTGCAACTATGACAATAAAAATGAAACTACAATGAACCCATGCTTATTTCTGTATCCAAACAAAAAACTTATCAACAGACCTCACAAATAGCTCCTTTCTTATCTAAATAATTGACAAGGGCAATGTGTATGAAAAGCTGATAAGATCAGTATGGTTTGAAAAACATCTGAAGAGATTGTCTAAACCTAACTCTTAAATGAGTAATTAAAATTAGTGATATAATGAATCATATTCAGAATTGCATCTGATTGATTAACCTTTTCACCACCATATTTTCTCGGCCAAATTTTTCAGCACTTTTTTCTTATACATGTATTCTAATTTCGGAGCCAATAGACAAAATATGTGTCAATTTTCACCCGAAAAAATGTCTATTTTTGCCCTAATCTTCTGAAGAAAAGGTGCAGACTATAAACAGAACTATTTTGCTAATTTGTGGTAAAAAAGGGGACTGGTGGTAAACAAGAAAATCATTATTATAAAGTAATTCATTTGATATTAGTGCAAAAATAGTGGCAACAAATGTTATAGAGGATTTTCTGTTAATTGACAACAATAATAACTGAACTGTCTAAAAAAATGCCTGGCTGTAGTGGAAACTGAACGTCATGGCAGCTTGTGTGCTACCTCAACCAGTACGGATTTACTCAGAATGCAGTATTTCAGTTGTCTTGACATAGTGTTATGATTAGTGTGTCCCCAACGGCAGATAGGTTGCAGTCTGTGAAAAAGGTAGGCCAAAAGGTCAACAGGCATGATGGAAAGCAAATTTTCATGATGACCAAAAGTAGACATTCAACATTTCCATTTGGGACACCTGGATAAAACCTAGAAGGTATCCATTTTGCCATTTGGCAAATGTTGCCAACAAGGGTAGCAGGACCCGATATATTTGCCGACTTACCTGTGCCTGGAGTAGACGCTGGCCACAGACGTAGACATGTGGCCTGTAAATGTTCAGCAACTTTTGGTGTCACTACACCACTGTATTTATAGTTATTGACTTCATTATGGTGGCGAGTATTGTTGCTACACTGAGGCTGCAACAATCAAAACAAAAACATTGATTAAAAAACTTACAGAAAACATTAAAGGGGAACTAAATAGAGCCTATTTTGGTCATGTACATGGATTATAAATTTAAAAAAAAATAAAATAAATGATTATCTTCAGAGTTATGATGATTTAAATATGAGAAACCATAAACCTGCGAAGGACTTCCGTTTGCACCATCTTGCCATAAAAAAACGCCCTCATGAGGTATAAACAGGTAAGGTAACAAAGCATGATGACGAAATAGTATCTGATTAAATATAAGCAACTTAGGGAGCCATAGTTGGCTGGACCGGTGAACTGACTTCTAGCCTAGGTTGTTTCGACTTTTACGTTAATGTTATTTACAAGTGTATCAACATACAAACATTATGGATGTGTGATTGATTGAGACAGGCATTTTTTTTTGTGCCCAACTGTCTAATAAGTGCTGTTTCCAGTACTGCACTGTGCGTGCAAATTATTTCAAAGTCTGGATGCTGGAGTATGCAATCTTGAGTTTCGTAGGGTGGTGGTGGAAACATTTTCGTCCATGTATTCACGGGGCTGCACTGGCAAATCATGGGACAATTGTCACAGGAACATCAAGCAGATTGTTCACAGACTTTTGTGTAATTTGAAATAAAACTATCATCCAAACAAGGGGCATCGTCGACGATATACTCTCATCACTCACACTGCACTGAATCTTAACGGTTGTAAATAGCATTTTTGACCTATGTTTTTTCATCGATGTTTTCGGCGTATACAGAAATCAATATATGGTTTTCATGATATGCGAAACACTGAATGGTCTAAAAACCACAACGAATGTAGATAGATGCTATTTATTTACTACAGTGTGATTGCGCCAAATTGCACCTCCTGTTTTAAGCTGTTAAGGGTGCAAACTGCCCTAATTAGTATTCGTATACCACAAATTTTCACAATTAGATTGTCACATGACCAGCAAGTCAGGTCACTTTAAAAATGGAGATGTAAACATGGTTGTTGGATACGCTTGAGCTATCTTCATTCTGTTTTTTTTCTTGAATATATTTATTAACTTAGTGTACGGTATTAACTTAGTGTAGTTTACGCGGATGGAAAGATCTGGTCTCATACTGTCTGCAGTTCTCATGACAACAATGAATATAGGGTGACGATGTCGTACTCGTTAATAACAATGCCTAAAACGCTGACCCTAAATGGATGTACCGTACTCGAATGCGTTAGCGCCCACCTCCCACTTTTGCACAATTTTTATATTTGCGGTCACATTCGGCAAAGCGCCCACCCCTTCAAAATGCAACTAATTTAAAACTTGGTCTTGCATAACGAATCTTGGTAATTGTTTTTATATGATACAGCGTCGATATTGACCGCTGTGAACATGTTGTGAATGCGTAGAACACGGTAACCGTGCGTAAACTACGTTTCGACAATGACCTGTTAATACAAGTAAAATGTGGTAAATATTACTAGTTTTTGGGAAAAACCATGTCGTTTATTCGCTGAAATCAATTCCAACAGATCGTACTTCGACATCGATAATTCACTTCCGCATTGCGTTACCGGAAAGTCTTCGGGAATTTCTGAAGAATCGCGTCAGTACAACACAGCATTCTGATTGGTAAATAACCAACTTGACCCATTAGGTCAAAGGATGCTGCTGCAGGTCAAATGCAAATGCATTATGGCGGAAAGTGATTTTCTGAGTTGAGGCCCCTGGGCGCTAATGCTATCGAGTACGGTAATAGCAAAGTCTGCTCTCAATCTAGAAAAAAAAAAAAACGAAGAGGAAAGTGCAAAAGGGCCTTCAATGATTTAAATAATATCTCTGTAGCAAACACCAATAAAGCTGTGCATACCAGATATGGGACAGATGTACATGTTTAATCAATAGCCGTGGACCGGATGTTACTCCAAACACCACGTAATCGGTAACGAGACAAAATACACTCTGTTGAAAGAAGGGTGCCCTCAAGTGAGATTCCTCTGATACTAACATATATTACATCACATGAAGTGAAAAAATTAGTCTTCAGGTCGCCAAATATTGAAATCAAGTTTTGTCGAGTGGACCTTAGGAATAACAGTACAAGATGACAACTTACAGAGTAAATGTACCAGGGTGTGTGTCGCCACCTTGAAAAGTTAAGCCCTTCTCTGATGGCCTCTCACATTTCAATGAATTAAGTGACATACATGTAAGCCATGTGCAAGGTCAAAATGACTATGCAATTGTATCAAAAACAATATTTTTCTCAAATTAGGTCATCTTTAAACAAAAACTATGTTCAAAGGACTTCAAACATAATTTTGCCGACAACATTAATACTCACTTTTAATGGACTATTTCTCAGAACTGAGGAGGCAGGAACAATACTTTCCGATGGAGTGACAAACTGGCTCCCATTTGGACCATCAGTATTTTCTTCATTCTCGTTTTCATTGTGATTTTCATCAGTGGCAGACAACAATTCACCAACACCCATGTCGCTGTAGATTGTCATTTTAGAAGACTCATCAACGTCCCAAGTTAAATGAACAGGCTGAGTCAAAATATCCATGTCATTTTTTCTTTTCCTACAAAAAAATAAAAGATAGGTAAAGTTGTATGTCAATTATCAAGCAAACAGTACATGTAATGAATCATTTACTGAACAAACAAACTTAAGTTAATGGCACAGAGCTGTAACTTCAAAGAATTTTTTCATACAAGGGTTTCCTCATACTACTACAAAATCAACATGTTATTTATGGGACCTTACCTCATTCTGGACAAACACTAAATTGAGTGAATCACAATTATATCAATTTGTGATTTGTGTATCATTAACTGAATAGGAAACACTTAAGTCACATTGAAACTGTCATACACCTACATAGGACACTGTCCTATCTGTAGTGAAAGACTGACTGCAGTAAGGACTAAATTACTAAATTTTACAACTCCCTTCTAAAGAAGCATAGTGGAGTTGTCATGCTGTAATTTCACTTTTTTACTGAAACTAGATCATAGCAGTTTTACAGTAAATACACATAAAATGTTTTGTATCTCCACTTTTGGATATAAGTATACAAAATTGGGTATCAAAATGACTTTGCCAGAACTGTTCAGTGTACTACCATGTTTATGCTATGCTTAGATGGAAAATCCAGAAACCTCACAGTGACACACTAACAACAATGCTAGATACTACTGTTCAAGGTGTGAACATTGAAACAAAATAGAGCATCAATAAAGCTGTCATCTCATTACAATTCATTGTTGTTGCCAGTGAATTTAATTTGCTAGGGCTTGTTGAAAAGTTGTGAGGAAAGGTTAGGAAGTCTATTCACCTCCCACTTGCATAGGCACGTTATGATTAGTTCTATCCATAGCAGTGCATATATTATTACGTGTTCTTTGGGTTTTTGTTTTTATATTCTGCTTATAGTATTTTATATATATATATATATATTTTTTTTTTCGTTACCAATTTCAATTTAGTCTGTTTTTGGCTGTGCTTTAAACTCTTAGCCATTATAATTTGATTAATTTTTATTTGTTATTTTCTTTTGTAACTTTCAACTTCTTTCTGTAGGTTAAGAGTTAATAAATAATTTAAATTATGTTAGCAGAAACGTGCATACATCCATATTCGAGTCTGATTTACTAAGACGACGTGATTGCAACCAATGATTCAAAGGATGATGGATGGCAAGTAGATTGATCAGCGTAAATTTAAAAAATTATGCTCAGAAGCTCAAACAATAAATTTTATTTCAATCAGATTGATCGCAACAAGACATGTTGTTTATCAACCAAGTTTGTCTTCACTAGAGAAATTCCTGTCATGCTTTCAGATATGCACTATATGTATATATAAAATACATCCAACCAAACCTATCTAGATGCTATTTACAATAGAAGTACATTATGATAAATTACTTCGCAGTATAGTCATTGTTTAGATAAACTTCTTGCAATCCAAGTCACCAGCTTGTTCCATTTGTGTTTTGTTGGCCATGGCAGCGATATTGTCATCAACAGCTGGGTATATCTTAAATAAAAGTAGAACTTAAACTTACTTTCAGCTGTGTGCAAGTTTGATCCCCGACTGGCGTTTCTTGCACAAACCAAGCCGCTAATAGAAAGCGCGAGCGAGAAATTCCATTGGAACGCCAATCAAAAATTCAATTCAAAAGTGCAGGCTAAATTTGTTTTAAATACAAGTAGTTCGTCACATACTTCAAAATGTCACGAATCAATCATATAACCATCGTTTAAACGCCTTACCTGTGTCGTTGAGATTTACTTTCGCTTGAACTGTCGTCAATCTGGGAGCATTTCACATTGTTCCGACATTTCCTTGTCTTCGTTTTTGCCGCCATCTTGCCATCGTACCCAATCAAGTGCACACAAAGTATCGCGAAGATAAAGAACATCGCGCGAGAAAAGCCGAGAGTCGAACCCGGAAGTAAATAGACATTGCACAACCCAAGGAAACAAACCGGTGGCGATCTTTGTTAGCACAACATCTGAAATGTTGCTTGAGTTGTACATAGAATAATCACAGTAACACAAGTAAAAGTCCAGAAACTATCGAATCAGATGACATGGCGACCGCCCGAATCCCAGAGTCGTACTTTTTCTTTTGGAAGATACAGTCCCCTTTCAGTCAGTGGCATCCCAGTGAGTTCACCGTAGAAGGGATAAAGTATTCATGTGCCGAACAGTACATGATGCATCAGAAAGCAGGTAAATAATATTTAAAATATTATCGGTAATATTTGATTGACTTTGTCTGACGTATATTTATTAGACCCAACACTGTCTCCGGAGATATCAACAGTAAGGTCACTAAAAAACTTATTACTAGTACTTTTTCGACTTAATCTTGAAAATTACAAACCTGATACTTGGTGTATAAGTACCGGGG